CTTCTACATACTGGAGTATTAGTTTAAAACTGTTTTGCTGAGATGTTTCATATGGGGGCGACACAGTGGTGTGGTGGTTAGCACTATTACCCCACAGCCAGAAGGTCCTGGGTTCGAGTCCCCCGGGGGAACCAGGACCTTTCTGTGTGGAGACTGCTTGAAAATCAATGGATGTCTTAAATGGGGGGCTACAGGAGAACAAACAGCCACTTTCTTTAGTTTAGTCACTGGAAAGCTGGCCTCTGCTGGTCTGCCGGCTGCTATCTGCTCCCTGTGGATCGGTTCCAATCCGAGCAGAGCTGAGCGCCTGTGCGGTTGGAAGCACCAAACCCTGGATGCTGAGTCAGTTTGGTGACGTGTGGAGCAGAGAGCTGAGCCCCGGCTTTTCCCCATCCTGCTTTGCTCTTTCTGGGCAAAAAAAACAAGGATAAAATCCTGGCTTTCTGTTTTATGACCGGTGCAGATGGAGGGACAACAGATCTGAGGATGAGTTCCACTTCATTGATACTCATTTTATGGGAAACTCATCCAATGGACCTGGATTTTTTGGCATGTAGAAGTCAGGAAACATCTCCAACCTGCAGGGCAGCGAGACCCCACGAGACATCTAGCGATGTCTTCTACCTTTTTCTTCTGTCTGAGCTTTGTATTTTGTGGATCCGGGCGGTCCCTTTGTTTTTTTTCCTCTAGTTTATGGGTCATTTATTGTTCTGTGGTTTCTTCTGAACTTGTGTCTGCTTCATGGATTTGTATTCATTCTACCTCATTCTCAGTTTTCTTGAGGTTTCTGGCTACCTTTAACCACTTATTGTCTCTTCGTTGGTATTCAAGGACTCTGGTTCTGTCATTTTCTGTCAGATCTTGGCTCTTCGTCCATTCTCTGGCTTTTTTTCTTGCTCTATCGGCTCCCCAATCCTCCTCTATAGTGTCACATCGAGTTTGTTTACTCAGCTCCTGGTTATTTCTAAGATAATTATCACGGTCTCCGGTTCGGTTTCTGCTCTTCGTACGACCGGATCGAGAACAAATTCCTGGTTTTCGTAGCAAGATTTCAGCGGCAGACCCACACACCCAGACACCATCTGATTCACAGAAATGTTCCGGCATAAATGCACATATTTGATCTCAACAAGCAATGTAACCAGACGATATTGAACTCGTTTTGTCCTGTAATAAGCTAGCACTGTTTGTTGAGGCCCAGAACTGAATCTGCCTGCCGAGCGCCTCCCTTTAGAAAATGCCTCGGCTGGTTTCAGCAGATGCAAACAAGCCGCTAAATGCCACGAAGTTCAAGTTCTGTTCACGCAGAAATGCTGTGAACTTTAACATCGGAGAAAAACAAGAGTCACAGTCGCGCCGTTGGGCATTTTCAGACTTGCCGGAGTAGTTTTAATGACTCTGGAGTGAGTAACAACAGCTTAGGGCACAACCTGACATTACGGACCACTCCTCAGATTCACTGCTGGCGCAACTTCAGTGTTTTCCATTTCAACAGCGGCAACGCCCGAGTTTTCTGCAGCACACCGTGGCCCCAAATCCCCGAATCTTCCATCAGACGATCAGATTTTTTTACTTTAAACCTCCCACTTCTGCCTGTGCACGCGTATTTGTGGTACTTTTGCAGACCTTATCATTCACATGCGTGTGTTACATGCATCATTTTGCAGATCGCAATCAAACTCCAGATAAATGGTATCACATTCTTTCTGCCTGACTGTGCTGCTATTCAGGTACATCTGATGTAGATTACAAAGCTCGAACATAGAGTCTGGGCCTTCATCTAAACATCTATATGTCCTGTAACACGGCCCGTCAAAACAAGGCAGCCGAGCCAGCCGGGACCAGGTCTCTCCGTGACCCCGTTAGCAGCACTCAGGTGCCATTCTACCATATTTGGCTTGTCGGCACTGTGAGAGCCGGCTTTCATCCTCAGTTTGCTCCACCTGCCCTGATTTCAAACACGACTTTAACACGAGCTTTAACACTAGCCAAACATCGAGAAAAATGCGGCACTCACACTAGAAGTTGTATCAAGATGCTAATAATATGAGAAAAAAACAGCGGATAATGTGCTTTAATTAACTCATTGGCTGCCAAAGATGTCTATAGACGTCTTTTATGTTTATCAACGAGAGCGGCTTGGGGGACGATCTGCTAAAGCTTGTCCGTAAATATCGGCTTCTAGACAGAGTATGTAGTAACAAATTGACCCTCTAGGTGGCAGTGCCACTTTTGATGGGAGATTAGCATAGACTGTAGGCAAATAAGAAAAATGTAATGGTTTGCTATGCGAAAAATGGCGCCGGTGAGACGCAAGTCGAGGAAGAACGGAATAAGGTAGAAACAAATTTTTTTCCTGATGAAAGAAGAGAGTCTACTCTTTCTTTTGGTGTGTTCAGTGTTTACATAGTCATAGCACAAACTATTCTGTGGCTCTTGAAAAATCAGTCAAAATGCTCAAAAGAACTCTGGCAGTATGGGACTCTCTGTTCTGAAAATGGCTGGCAGTCAATGAGTTAATTTGAGATGCATCTTTGATCCCTCAGTAAAGCTGAAGAGCTGGTCCACCGCTCCATGATGAGGGGAAAAGTCCCTTTTCCTCCTGAATCCAAGTTCAAATAATTACATTTGTGACAAGGTCAACCAACTTTAGGGTTCGATTACGCTTTCTATTCCATCGAATCTTTAATTTGGACTCAGGAAACTGAGGCCACGAACCAACAAACCGACTGTTTGTACTTTAGGAGTCGCCCCCTGCTGGATTATTGATAGAATGCCTCTTTGTCCAGGCCGTCTACCTGAAGCCCAGGCCAACACCTCCTTAAAAGGCCGCAGAGGGAAGCGCTCGGCTTGTTTTTTTTGCCTCCCCTGCTGTAAAATCTGAGCAAACATGCGCATGTTTGGCCCTTCCAGGACGGGACGGCGGCGTTCCAGCGAAGCAGGTCCACGGCGGAAACTGCCAGACAGGCGCGAAGCCGCGGGGTCGGCCCGACTGTTTGCTCTCATCCGTCAAGCTGCAGGCTTGGCTGTAACCTCCTCCTGATAGGCCTGTTGGTTTTGGCACTTGGCGGGCGGACAGGACGTGACGGCCGCCCCCTAACCCGCCGGGCACCTACACAAATAGTGATGTGTGCGATGTTTTTAATACGGTACAACGTCCACACCTGAGGACAGCGCCTCAGATTTAACACAGCTGGACTTCTTCTAGGGTCCTTGAGATGTTTTTTCTCTCTTCCCAAAAGCTTCTTCGGCTCTAAACGTCACGGTGGAGGACAGCTTAAAGCAGAAGGGGTGGGGAGGTGGGGGGTCACAGTCTGAACCCCGGTGGTTATATAAATGGAGGCCGTTTTAATGGTGTACACGTGAAGGAAAACAGTGACACTAGCACTAAAAGTCTCTTAATCATTGAAGTTTTCCCATCTTTTCCACGCGCTTCAGCAGTTATATAGTTGGATTAAAACAGTTTGCGTTACTGCACACAGCCTTTCATGGACCCAGATATCAGGGGGAGAACTCTCTTGACCCTCTTTTTTTCCACTGGGGATTCTTCCTCCTCTGAGTTCTGGTTCTGAGCTAGCTGGTTGTCTCTGTCGCGTCGAACGGCTTCAGCAACTCTGTCAGAAGGCAGATCTGACAGAAGGTCCTGGGTTCTAGTCCCACAGGGGAACCAGGACCTTTCTGGGTGGAGTCTGCATGTTCTCCTGTGTCTGTGGGTTCTCTCCGGGTTCTCCAGCTTCCTCCCACCATCCACAAACCTGCATGTTAGCTTGATTGGACGTTCCAAACTGCCCGTAGGAGTGAGTGTGAGTGGTTGTTGGTCCTTGTGTGTCTCTGTGTGTCCCTGTGATGGACTGGGGACCGTCCAGGATGACCCTGCCTCTTACTCACAGATTACTGGGATAGGCTCCAGTCCCCCTGTGACCCCATTAGGGAATAAGCGGTTACGAAAATGGATGGATGATAAATATATATGTGTATATGTGTGAGTATGTATACATATATGTGTGTGTATACTGATGTCTCTTGAACGACCTCTTTAAACATTTCTGCTCTGGTCACCAAGCTGTCTTCTGAATTTGTAGGTCTCAGACATACACAAAAGCATGTGAACACTGAGGGAAAATTGCGCAACATTTGCTAAACATTTAAATCAGGCAGTGAGCTCAAACACCTGCTTTTCACTCTGAGTCCTCATTTGTTTAAATCCGGCCTTATCTGGGCTAAAATGAGGGGAGGGGGTGGGGGCTGTGAATTCTTTACTTGAGAAACATTTCAGTTTATTCGCTTCCAAGTGACCCACGTACACAAGCATGTCGCCTCTTAAAGTATTTTTTCTTTAAAATTATGTTTTTTTTCTCTCCTTTGTTTCCAATCCAGGGCTGTGCCACCTCAGGGGAATGAGTCATTTATACCAACGGTACTATTATCCACTTTCTGGCAATTAAAAGTTCTCATTGGATGTTAAACATCCTGATCCCACAGCGCCTCCTGGTGGCTGGTGATATATCGGAGCCTCTTCTTTTTTCATTCAGTGAAGAGAATTCCTGCACAAATAGCTCAAATTTGATTGTATCAAACCAGAAAAACATTAAGAAATGGGCCAAAAACTGTGGCAACCTTCACATATCCAGACTTTTTTTTTTTTAAAGTGCTTTTTTAAATCATGGGTATGATTTTTTTTTTCCAAAATGATCCCAAATGCAAACTGAAGAAGCTCAATGAGAAAGGAAAATGGCCATCACCTGGACATCTACAAGCCCGACTATCCTCACTGTCAGCCTCTCTGGAACAACTTGCCCTAAACAGTAAAAGGTTTTTATTTGTTTTTAAAGAGTGAGAAGACCTCAGAGGTTTATTAATCTATCTGTCCTCTGACACCACCTAACCTGTTGCTTTATCAGTTGCAGTTTTTGTGTATTTTATCATATCTGAAAATACAATAAAGGAAAAAACTAAGTGATTTCATGTGCAGAAATCTGAATAAAAACAGATGCTCGTGGTGAGGTGGAACTGCTTTTATTTCTCGTGCATAGACAACATATCGGTTCACATAATGAGTCTAAGAGTCCGGAGACGGAGGCCGTCTGTTCCCCGTCGATCCCGAAAAGGAACGCCGGAAGGTTCTAGAAGCTTCCGGTCAGAAGAAAACATGATACAGGTAAGCTAAAGACCTTCGGAGGACGGCCGTAGTGTAAACTATGAGAGCAAAGAGGAAACTGTCGTTCAAATTAAAGTCCATCAGATGGTCCCTGAAGGGGGGCCAGACCAAGCCCCCCCCCCACACCCACTTTAAGCCAGGTTTGGGAGGGAGTGGGGGTTCAGCACAGCAGTTTTTAAGCGAGGCGGGGAATGTCAGATGTCTTAAAGAAGAGCGTTCTGGGTATTTCTGAGGCTAAAAGCTGATCAAAGGTGGAGAAGAAGTCATGTGACCAGGAGAGCAAATCACAGGGAGACGTGTGCGCCATGATCCACACGTTTTCTGATTTTTCCCAGAGAAAGTAGGTGACTTCGGCCTAGTTTTTGGGACTCTTTGCGACTGGGACGGACCAACTGCCTCCCGTGGGGGTGGGGGGGTGTGCGTGTGTGCGTTTTGTTGTGCGTTTGGGCTGGAGGGCGACGACAGCTGCAGGAGCTCCTCCTGGACGGCGATGGGTCGAGTTCGGGTTTAGTATCAGCAGCGAGGATTTCCTGAAAGAGCAGAAGTGCATCAGTGGAGAGTTTTGGCTCAGAACAACAACAAGCACAGAAAGAGGGGGGAAACCGATGTTTATTATAAGTTTAATTCATCTATTTATTTACTTTGTTGTTTATTTTCATGTTTTCTTTTAGCATTTCCTGTCTGGTTTTCCATTTCTGGTATGAGTTTGGGCCTCATTATGCTGCTTTAGGGGTGAGATCCAATTGGGACATTTATCATTAATTTATTTAGACTTTTCTGTGTTTACAGCTTCAGTCATGCAGAATTCTGCACAATGGATGGATGATCCATCCATCTTCTTTGAGAAACATTTGAAATGACTGAATGGTTTTGGCATAAACTGGAAGTTTTGGCCTTCCAAACTTTTCAAACTCCTATTTTTTTTATCCTAAAATCACTGATTTCATTCATTTCATCCTATAAACAAACTGTCCACAAGCATTTCTGTAATGTCTTTTAAGTCTGATATCCAAAAATGGATAAAAAAAACAGTAAAGAAAACAAATTTTAGGGTAGATTTCCTTCGCATTTCACTTTTTTTTTACAATTATTTGGAGGTTCATTTAAATATGATGTTGCTAAATCAGTCAGAGGTATCTCCCATTTAAAAAACTACTTTTGCTACACTTTGTTAAAGTCAGAATCAATAAAAGCTAGAAGCTCATAAACATGAATCAATGAGTTCAACCAGCAGCAGAAAACAGGGACTTTAACACTTCTATCTGGGGATTATGTCACCTGTTGTGCTCTGAGAGTCTCTTTCACTTGGTGCCGTTGTATTTGACCTCTTTCCCGCACTTCTTCAGCGTCTCCATGAGAACGTCCACCTCCCTGTCGGACTCGATCCAAACCAGCTTCTTGGGCAGGTCGATCTCGAACTTCACATCTGAGAGCAGAGGAGACAAAGAGGCGTGTCGCTGAGCTGCTGCATGGCGCCCGGATTTCTGCTTCTGCTTTGATAAACAAGCAGCCGTTCCCATCAATGACAGATGGGACGTTCTGCTGAAAAACGCTAGGACTTTGAACATATTTGGGGAAGAAAGACCCAAAAAAACAGAAGTGAAACTTGTCCGTACAGATTTGAACGAATAAGCTAAATTAAAGTAACAAACCGGAGCGGCGTCAGGTGACACGCGGGCTGACTCATCGCTCACAGCCCGGAGGTCACGGGATGGCTTTATAACCTCCCTCTACTTTAAACCGGGTCTCAGGAGTCCAGATCAAAGCCTTCTTTGATACGGTAAAGGTTGAAATGTAGCAGAGAGAAAAGGCTTAACATTAGCTGCTGCTTCATTGTGGGATCAAAGCTGACTCTGTGATTTAAAACCCCTTAAGTGGAGCTTCTACTCAGGTTAAAGATGGAATTCTGCTCAGAATTGTTGTTCTGTCTGATCTTAATTTCGAGAATAAATAACTTCATCTGAGGTATCTATAAAGCTGGTTTAAACCCACATGGTCTCAATGAACCAAATTAAAATGTAAGCTTCAATGTTTCAGGGAAAAAGTTCAAGACAAAGCAAAGAATGATTTTGTGTACGGCCAGTGAAATGAAACCCCCAGGAAACATAAAAATCAGTGACAAAGGGCTTCTGTTTTCGTTAAATATATGACGGGAACGAGGAAGTAAAGCGCCATCAGTACCTGAATCAAGAGCAAAGACTAATTCTTTGTCATAATAGTTTTGGGTTTGTTTAGAGATACTCACACCTAAAAGGAAAAAGAAATATCAAGAAATTCAACTGGAAAGTAAGTTCTGACGTTATTTGACCGAAACACATTAAGTCTGGGTTAGTTAAAGTTGCGTTAAAAGCCAAAAGCTGTTAAAAATAGTTCCTTTTTTATAAGGATTTGAAGGGTGAATCGAACTCTGTTAGAAACACAAAGATTAAGACGTTGTCAAAGAATAAATTCACACAGACAGAACCTCTTAACTTGAATTAGCCCACAATTACAAATCGCCTATAGCTTATCTAGTTCTGACTTATATTCACATTGTTTGATTGTTTTTTTAAGTTGGTTGTGGCTGAAAAAAACAAGACATTGCAGTTTTCATGTTAATGATTGATCATAATCACTATGATTTCTCAGCAAATGGACACTGGCATTGATTTTTAAGTGACTGTATGTAACTTTGAGGAACATGGGACAGAAACAGAAGTGGCCAGAAAGGATGGGGCCAGGGTTTAGGTTTCTGTGGATAAAACCACCAGCTGGAAGAACCTAAAGTGTCAGTCTTACCTCCCAGTTTGTTGAGGACTCTGGTAACAGCTCCCGAGCAGCCTTCACACGTCATAGCCACCTCAAACTCGTGCTTCTGTGGCAAATATAATCTAATTTACTGTAAATACGATATGTATAAGAGGCTGATTTTAAGTGCCACGTGTTTATTAATACTTTAATGACATGGAGGAACGGTTTATGTGCTTAAACTAGCATTCACTGCTCGGAATGGGTCATTATTTTTAACGACTGATCTTAGCTGTTATCAGTTAGCTGCTACAGTTAATTCAACTATAATTAATAAAGCTTTATAATAGAATTACTGCCACGTGGCGTCTGTTGTACAGTGGGAATAGACAAAACCATCATTAAACAATGAATGAGCCAACTCAGACAAGTTTGCAGGCTAGCTTAAAAGCTAAAGCTAAACTAAAAGCTAAGTGAAGTAAAGACGCAGGCAAATTCATAAAAAAAAGAAAAATTAATCGTGACAACTTACGGTCATGTTTGCAGTGACTCGTTACAGGCAGCTGTGGACTTTTGCCTTTGAGTGACTTGCAGTGCTTGACGGTTGCTGCTAAAAACACAGATCTTCACTACTTCTAGCAGCTGCTAAGCTAGCGTCCGTCCCAGAAGCACGACTTCCGGTATGAAAAAAATCTTAAGCAATTTTCTAATCAAAGCATGTTTTGATTTCTTCAAAAGTTAGCCATTTTTATCATCTAAATGTATTCAGGAAAAAACAGAAAAACATACAAAAAAATGTTTTTTTTCCAATACAAAAAGATAGTAAAAACATAATTAATCTGAAGTAAGAACAAACACTTCCGCTTTTTAATTTAGAAAAGATCTCACCAGTAATATTTTATTTAATGTTTCCTAATTAGACATGCAGTTAAAAAAACACCAACAGATAGATAAAATACAATTAAAAATAATTCAGTGTCCAAATGGTCTTAAATTGAATTAAAAATCGAAAGATTATTAAAGATGATTTAACAGTGATAACCGGATCTACTTCCACTGTGTTCTGGCTACCTCGGTGTGCAAACCAAGCGCCCCCAAACCCCATTTTTTACCCCTACAGAATCGTTTTATCAAAGTGAAACGGAACTTTTTTTTACCGATAACTTGACGTTGAGGATAAAGTTGCCATTTCACACATTTCCCGTCCTATTTCAAGCTGTGCGATTCCGTTTCATGGTTAAATGAAACTGTGATTTTTTTTTAATCTGTGGGCGAGTTTCCAAACGCGGGTGAATGAATGATTCCAACCCTTAACTGACCCGTTCTAAACGCGTAGTAAGGCTTAATCCGTCTCTATGGCAACAGAACGTGGAGTAGCACGACCCACGTCCTCGGCTCGGCTCGGTCACGTGACCCCACCGCTGGCTCCTGGAGCTGAGTCCTGTTTGCTCTCAATCTGTGCCGCGTCGCCGCGCAGTGTTCGCCCTGATATGACAGCGATACGAAAATAAGAGGTCTGCGGCGACGTCTGTCAGATAAAGCCGGCCCCAGAGAGGAGAGGACACACGCCTAACGGCATCTCCGAGGTAGGCCGGCGACGCTTGCAGTGGGCCGAGCTGCGGGGTCTTCTGAACGGACACAAAGATGGCATCGGAACCGGCGGCTAGCGTCGGCTAACGCGGGTTTTATGGCAAAGAACCGCAGCCGGGCTAGCTTTGGCGGCTCCCGGGAGCCCACGGGAGACGAACCGGGCTAGCTCCGGGGGCTCCCGGGAGCCCACGGTAGACGAACCGGGCTAGCTCCGGCGGCTTCCTGGAGCCCACGGGAGACGAACCGGGTTAGCTCCGGGAACCCACGGGAGACGAATTGGGCTAGCTCCGGGGGCTTCCGGTAGCCCACGGGAGACGAACCGGGCACCAAACCGCCTTCTTGTTAGCGTTTTAATGAAGATAACTCATTTAAGCGAGTGAATGTAGCTTCTAACTGTCAGTCGTGACCACATTAGCTTTGTTTGTTTTGTTTTTTAGCCGGGAAGATGTTGCATTTGGGCTCAAAGACACCAACGATATCCGTTTGTTTTGTGTCCACCGAGACGACCCGAGACACTCAGACGTCTCCGGCCAAAGATTACCGGTCGTTTATTATTAATGCGATTACCGTGTTGATCTGACAGCTCTGACGTGTGTGTGTGTCTGCGTGTGTGTTTGTGTTTGTGTTGTCATTCAAGGACAACGCTTGTTATTTGAGAGGGTAAAAGAGAAACAGGTTGTTGAATTTGACCGCCTTTAACTTGAGTTTGTTTCCCGGTCAACTGCAGACCCGCGCTAGGCTTAATGGGAACTTTCTTTTTTTTTTTTAAGGTGAAATTAATAGTTTGCATGGCCCTTTTCTCCACACAACAAAATGAATCGCATGTGTATGCTGAATCTAAAATCCTGTTTGTGGAGCTGAGTTGTTGTTGAACATGAACTGATGGGCAGATGCTCCTGTTTTTCAGGTGAAATGCAGATCATTGGCAGCTTTCAGGCTCCCAAATGCCAAGATTTGTTGTGTTTTTATCTGAACAAACCGATGGCTGAGCCGCAGACTATAAACTATCTGAATTATGCTGTTATTCAAAAGGATTTGAAGATGTATATGACACCACTGTACTCAAAACAGTAAAAATGTTTTGCAGGTATTTGCTGACAGTAATTCAGTTTTCTGACTTTATCTCCTTCAAATCAAGTGTGCACATGTACCTCTTAGTGTCTTATTTTCTTGGAGATAATCATTGGCGTGTATGTGCAAAGGAAAGTCTATAAACACACGTTTTAGATGCACAGGGGATCAGTTTGGACTCCGAGTCTGAAAATAGCTGAATGGCTCATAATTTAGATGCTGTGCGAGATCAGACTTGTCGCTGAGAGCTCACTGAGATCACGCCCGGTGTGTTACAGGGAAGCAGAGACTGGTTTAATTAGCTTTTAGGATGCCGAACGGGTGGAATTTCAGGTTTTAGTAGGGAACCGTTTTCAGGTTTGGTTCCTCAAAGTGGTTTTTTATTCTGCCAACTTCCCTGTTTTCACAGAGTCGCTGCATAAGATGACGAGGACAGCTTTCAACAGCATCCTCGTGTGAGAACCTGCTAGATTAGAAAGATGTTCTGTGCCAGCTTCCAGCCATTATGCTGCTCTTACATAACGGCGTGGCTTAGCGGCCCAGGAGCCTCTCTCAGACACCGTCTGACTCAGGCTGCAGCAAAAGCAAAGGCCCAACACATCTTGAAGATTAGGTGGCAAAAAAAAAGAAAAGAAAACTTCTCAGAGTTACTTTATACTAAATGAAAATGTACTGTACGGATCGGAGGGCGTTTGTTACGATCATTTAAGATGAGGATTTCTCTTTATGGTGTCATTCATTTGTGAAATATCACAGCTACGTGAGCCATTTGCAGTCCCAAGAAAAGTGAACCCTTATTGTTATATTTCATGTCAGCCGCCTGACCCATCATAAGTTAAGTTTTTAAATGGATTGAACTTGTTTAGCTTTAGCAGAAAAATAATTATTGTCAGAAATCTGCCATTTCCTGCAGGTTGCATTTGCAGTTTTTCATGTGGAAAGTGTCGGCCGACTCTGAGTCTGAGTGGAGTTTCCTCTGGTTCGCGCCGTGGTGTCGGGGCGGCCGCGTGCTGACTGTGCGCTTTACACCGGTATTGTAAACCAAATGTCGCTGAGGCGTGCAGATCCTTCACGTTCCTTCGCGGGAACATACCGCTCACACAATCTAGTAAAAGTAGCAAACCTCCTGGAATGTTTTCTAATCAATTTATTGCCGCTCCCAGGCTGGAAAAAAAAACCCCTCCTGTGTCTTAGAGAATAACTCCATCAAAAGCTCTCTGTGTGCGGCAGAAGCAGCTGGAGGGCTTTGAATCGGGCCGCTCTCGGCGTGTTTGAAGGTTTCGGACTCCTCGGGTTTCTTTTGGCCGGGGGCCAGAAAGTGGGAAAAACGGGTTCAGACGCGGGTCCTCCTGTAAGGAGTCTTCAGGACAGGAATAGTCACTTTTCCTCTTTTTCTTTTCCCAGGTGGAAGCTGCCCATGCGGGGTTCGGCGTCTGTCCTGCGTTAGATCTGTAAGGCTGGGAGAGACGACGCCCGGCCCCCCCCCACCGAGCCCCCCACCGAGCCCCCCGAGCCGCCATGATGGCCTCCAGCGACGTGGACGTCAGAGCTGACGGTACCGAGTCTTTTCACTGATATGGACACTGGATTTATCCTATAAATGTGGCAGTCTGGATAAAAGGGCACAATAACAATAGATGATTAGATCTTTGATAGTGCTATGAGTCAGCCTATGCTGTAGGTCTCTCTTCTTCTTCTATCAGTAGATAAATCCACTGTTCTCTAAGTCTAAATGTCAATATTTGCTGTGCGACATTCATGACTTTCAACGGCCTCGTTGTTCCGGTCCGTTATCAGTTCATGAGCTTTCAAACAGACCTCTGTTTCTTTTTGAGTTCCACATTCGAAACAAGCGCCGTCTCTCCCGCTCTGTAACATCTAAACGAGGCACAATCCACCTTTCACAACTGCGTTTCTCATCCCGGGAGCTTTTTTTTTTTTCCCTCCACACTACAGCAGATATCTTCAGTTTTAGGCTGATTGCTGTCAGCTGCTTTAAAGAAGAGTGGAATCTCAAAATTAAGCTATTAAGCTGAGATCTGGTGACTGTAAAGATAACAAGGCGTCTTTGATTTTTTTTCCTACATGCGTTTGGCCTCGTTTCCTCTAGAAATCAAGCCAGAGAAGCTGGGCTCCAAACCCCGAGGGAGGTCACGCTCAGACGGGACGTGTTAATGCTCGGTTTTGAACAGGGAAACGCTGGTTTTATCGGAGTAAAAGATGTTTTCATTCCTGCTCTTGAACAGATGAGGCGCGTGACAGAAAAGAGTGTCGGAGCTTTGTCCGTTAAACGATGTTTATTCAAGTTAAGGACGAGGTCCGCCTTAGTTAAATTTACTGAGAACTCATCCTGTGTGTTTCCCCTCCCACGGAGTCACTTTTTAAGGGGGGCGTGTTTGGAAAGGGTTCAGATCCACTTCAGAGAACCAGAAAAGCAGCACTTAGAGGTCTAGAGGTCTAATTTATCTCCTGTCTCACTGTTTCAGGTTCTCTGTTTTCTGACCAAAACCCATCAGAAATGGACGCTCTGTGTCCCTCTCCCCCCGGACCCACCCGACCCCAGCGGAACTACGAGAGGATCGGAGGGAGGACGGGAACCTCGTGAGTGTTTTAAAAGCTCCCCGCAGTGTCGGTGGAACGGGAAAAGAGCAGCGTTTTGCTCCGTTCCTTTTTTCCCAAACGCTTCTTTCTCCTTTGGTCCAGCTTTTGCCAGACTCTGATCCACCTGCTGAAAGGAAACATCGGCACCGGCCTCCTGGGGCTGCCTCTGGCCGTGAAGAACGCCGGGCTGGTGGTGAGCGCGGCCGGGCTTTTCTGTGTCCCGGTCACATGATGGGCCCGGACAGTAGAGCAGGGCCAAAAACACACAGCCCCAATCAAACAGATCCAATCTGCTCCACTAATCGGTTTATTTAAAAAATGAGCGCCACTCGAATATCACAGATTTATTCCATCTTATATCCATCTTAGATTTCAGCCACGTGAGGCTGAATTTATCATTAATTTTAGTATTAAATTTAGTTTAAAATATTGAGAACTTTCACATTTTTTAACCCCTTAATTCTCCGGCCCATCAGCAGGATGTCGCATTTTCCTCTGCCCCCCTTTCTCTCTGCCCCTACATCTTGCCCCCCCCCCCAGTTTAAAGCTAAAATAAGAATCAGAATCAGAAATACTTTAATAATCCCAGAGGGAAGTTATTTAAAAGCTCTCAGACTGAACGATGTCACCGTTTGAGGGTCCAATCAGAGCTGCAGACTCGGTAAACTCCCATTTCAAAGCGGCCAAACACAGAAAATGATGGACGCCAACAAAAAAGACCCTGTTACAGGAAAACAGTTAATCCACAACGATCTGATATCCAGACACAAAGCAGGGAGACACAGAGTCCAGCTGAGGCTGCAGAAACGGCCATCAGATTCTGGTTCTAACCTCAGGAAGCTTGCGTGTTTTATGGGGCGTTTTCGGGTAAAATTGCTGGATTTTGAATGGGTAAAACATGCCAGATAGGTTTTTTTTAAACGATCCAGCTTGGAAGTCTTTAATCCCCAGTTTGCCTCCTTGGTGGGCTTTAACCCTCTGTCTCTGTCCAGCTGGGACCCGTCAGTCTTCTGGTCATGGGCGTCATCGCCGTCCACTGCATGAGGCTGCTGGTCAAATGTTCTCACCACCTCAGCGCCAAGTGAGTAAAGATGTGTTTAACTCTGCGTTTCTGTCCTTTGACGTCAGCTTAGTCGCTGAAGAAACTCTAACTCCAGCTCCTTGTCTTCACTCATTCCAGGAGCTACTACACATGTAGATCTAAGTAGTTTAAGCTGTGAGATGAACTTTATGATGTCACAAAGAGGAATGGCATCATCATGGGTTCATTGTTAACATATTAGAACAATTTTGAGTGCTGGAAAGGGCTTAAATGAGCATTTTAATATGTCAGAACGTCCCAAAACTCTCCACCTGAACATTTCCATAGAAGATATTCCATATTTTGTTTGTTCAGGGACAGAAAAGGAGTATCATTGAGTCTATTTGTTCATAATCAAACATGAAGGCAGACATTCTGCAGAGTTGCTGCTGGACAGGGTACAAAAAGCTCATCCCAGGAGCCCTGGAGCTGTTTTGTTCTTATTGCCAAAGATCTTATGAGGTCTGGAAATCCTGTGTGGACTGAAGTGCTGACCATCTCCAGCCTGTAGCCAAAGAAGAAGAAACGACATAAACTCGGAGCGGCAGGAGGAGGAGGAAGATTTCCGCTTTTAGAAACCCGCCGTTCTGAGCCTCCGGCAGGTTCAGGTGAAGCAGAAGAAGCTGGATCAGCTTCCGTACCAAGCCCAACCCAAAGCTAGCTTCGTGCCACCACAGTCCCCACAGCGGGAGGCCCTTTACCTGCTGGACAGACACGTGGAAAGCCGGCGTTCGCTCGGCCACGGGGGTGTTGTTGCTGCTGCTGCTCCCTGGCAGATTACGCCCCGTTAAGTCTCTATTTTCTGCTCGGTAATCAGAGGCCTGCCGGCGGCCCGAGGAGCACCCGCTGAGCGGGGAAAGCAGGCAGCACGGAAAGGCCGCCTCTAATTCCAACCACTCGATTACGCAACGGAACCATTCTGAGCCTCCGGTTTGGTCATCACAGCCGTTGGACCGCCCAGGACTTCAACACTGTTCCAGCCAGCTGTGCCAAATCCAGCTGTGGCCTCGGACAATTAGACAATTAACCCCCTTCTCTGCCCTTTGACCCGCTCGAACCGGGAGCTCCCGCAGCCCCACCCAGCCACGTTAAAGAGGATTAGCCAGAGCAAGAGTATCAATGAAGATCTCCTCCACAGTCAGGAATAGCCCCAGAGAGGACAGAGGCCCACAGAGGCCTACACGTGCCCCCAGAAAAAAAAGCCTTCTGACACGCCCACCGCTTCCTGTTAGTTCAGCCCTGACAGGCTGGAGCTCACCCAGGAGCTGAGTCATAGGTTGGGCCTAGTTTTTTGTACAAAAGAGTCCTTTTTTTAATCTGTATTTCTTCTGATATTTAATCTAAAGTGTCTGCATCTTTTACAAAGTCCCCCTTTTCTGCCTCATTTACGGTTTATCCTTTTTAAAATCCCACATCTCTCTTCTCTTAACTTCCCCACAGAGAGTTTACCGCCAGCTAACGGTTGGTTTTTGTCCTTTTTCTACGTGTTTTCAGGATGAACCGGCCGTCTATGACCTACGGCGAGGTGATGCAGTATGGGATGGAGAACGTGGATTGGCTCAGGAGACACTCGCACTGGGGACGGTACGAAGCATGGACACCGAAAGGCGGTCTGACAGAAAGCCTCCACACTTTGAAAGGAAGGGATCCTGACATGTCACTTTTCAAAGGATGTGCAAAATGTCCCGAATGTCCCGGATCAGTTGTTGAAACGGGGTTATTTTAGGAGAAAGTCACCATCTTTCTCTTAAAATTGTCTGGTTTGGCGGGTTTGTCAAAGCAAACTCGGCCAATCGGACGCTGAAAACTAAACGGTCAAAAGCTAAAAACAGCAGAATTCAAGCAGAACATGAGCAACAGGAAGCCCTTCCTCTATCCGGGTCAGAGCAAAGCAACATTTTCTGTTGTTTAATGTGCCCATTACGCAGAAGATTGAGATGCATTCACAGTCAGAAGGAATCCATAAACCAGCAAAAAGACTTTTAGACCTTAGCCTGTTTTAATGATGCACATTTAAAGAAAAAAAAACACTAAATATTGAATTATTCTCTCCAAATTCCCCCAAACTGACGAGACTCTGATCTGCAATGTTCTTAAATTAACCCTTCAGCTTCCACACTGAGAGAAAAACGGAAGAAAAACCACTCGTGTTTTTAGAGAATCAGTCTGTCTAAACTGCTACATGTCCAGATGTGGCCCACTCCACAGCTGGATGTTCGCCTTTCAGAAGCCTCTAAACTCTCTCTCTCTCCTCCCGCCTCTCTCCCCCCGTCTCAGACGGATAGTGAACCTGTTCCTCATCATCACCCAGATAGGCTTCTGCTGCGTCTACTTCGTCTTCCTCAGCGACAACGTCAAGCAGGTACTGCCCCCCCACCGGTCAGCAGGCCGGTCGGGGCTCCTCCGCCCGGTCAGGCCTTTAGAACAGAGCTTCTAAACCTTTTCTGAGGCACCGAACCCCCCAGTTCCAGATGCACATTCACTGAACGTGTCTTTAGTGATAAATGAAATATAATTTTTTTTCCAAATTCAAGACATAGATATATGTTTTTTTTTACTGGTGCATAAAATGAACCGTACATGAACATAACCAAAACCAACACAGTGCATGAACTCACAACAAATTACCGTATTACTTAATTTTTCATTCATATTTTGGCTGAATAAAGGAATTTCAGCCCCCAAAAATATTTTTTACTGTTTAAATAATTTTAAAAAAAATTGAATTTTTAAAGATTTTAACCTTTTTTACTAACATGTTTATTTAATTTTAAATCTAATTTGTTTTTTGTCGTCTTGAATCTACAAAATACTTTTTTAGGGGCCAGAATAAGAAGTGTTCCTTTAGTTTTGCCAGTGTGAAACTAGAGTTGCTCAGCTTGGCATCACACAGACAGGACGCTGACCCCCGTCCCGTTCCTGATACACATGAATTCATGTTGAACAAATTTGTCCGACCACTTTCTTTTTTTGTTCGACATATTTACTATGGATTCAAATATTAAGAAAGGCCAAAAGACCAAAGCTCAACATGAGAAAACATGAGGAGATCTAGTTCCTGTCGTACGTCTGAAAACGTAGCAAAGCTTCCCTCATCAGGCTCTCCTTCACATCAGGAATCTCACAAGAAGAGCTCTCAGCTCTGGTGGAGTTTTTCCGCTGTTATGTAAGAGCGCGGCCATGAATGTGCGAGCTTTCAAAGTTCAAATATCTCCAGAGATAGGAGCGAAAAGGTCAATAACAGTCTGGCTTTCGCTGTATCAGCGGGAGGGGATTTACATAAAGCATTTGCACATGGTTAAGCTTTATGAGCTCATGCACAGTCTCAGCTTTTTGCATGTTCACACTGAAAGGTTTTTAATGGCTGTTGTCCGTTTTAAGGTGACGCGTCCGGCTCTTTATCACCAATAAACACCTTGAACTCTTACACCTTTGGTCATTATTTGTAAAGATTAAACCCAAAATATCAGAATTTGAAGTTCTGTTTGAATCACGGTCTCACGTGTACATTTTTATTTTTATCTCCCTCCACCCAAACATGTCATACGGGCGGTCACTGGAATGTGGGGTGACTTTTGACCCCTTAACTCTTTAATAACGATTGATCTTTTTTGAGGTTTGCCCTAAGTTTTTTTTAAAGGTCTTTTTAATTGATTCTTTAAGCAGAATACTTAATTTCCTCAGTGTGTGTTTACTTTATGTAAACAATGGCCATTGATGTGGTGGTGCAGTATGGCTTCTGACCACTAGGTGGCAGCATCGGTCTGTTCAAACAATTTAAACGCCTCTGGATGTGCTTGAACATCTGAGTTTGCTCTGGAAATGCAACAAATTGAAATTATGGAAGAAATAACGACTGAAATGAGGAACATATATTTATAAAACAACTTAAATGAATGCGTGAGGGTCAGTTTAAATAAATGTGAGTGGATTTTGCTTCTAAAAGAGCAGATTTAATGCAAGAGTGGTGGCTCATGGAGGATTTTTTGGATGGAGTGACCTTTTTTTTTCTGTTTTAACGTTTGCTGTTCTGCTCTTTCCAGGTGGTGGAGGCAGCTAACGCCACCACCTTCAGCTGCCAAACCAACTACTCCAACCAGACCCAGGTCCTGGTCCCCAGCTTCGACTCCCGCCTCTACATGCTCTTCTTCCTGCCCTTCTTCGTCCTGCTGGTCTACACCCCCAACCTGAAGTTCCTGGCCCCCCTCTCTCTGGTGGCCAACCTGGTCATGACGGCCAGTCTGATTCTCATCTACTTCTACTCGCTCACGGTAGATAAACGCTTCTCTCTGATGGACTTCACTGTCCGGGGCAGAAATGCAGTCGTTGGGCTTTAAGATTTGGCTTCTTTTTGGGCCTGTCTAGTAGTATGAACACATCTTAGTCAGGAACAGGAGCTGTCTGAAACGCTGGCAGGAAGGCAGGAAATATAGAGGTTAAAATGACTATTTGTTCTGAGCTCCTTTATTCTCTGAGCAGCTGTGTCCTCTCTGTGAGGAGCCTCCAGGAGCTGCACTCCAGCTTCTTGAAGGACGTCCCAAAGCTCTTCTCTGGATGTTTAGCTCCCTTTGGCTCCGTTCTCTGTCAGATGATCCCACACTGCTTCATCATGTGGAGCTCCAGCTCTGGAGGATCCATCCCTCCATCAGAGCTGCTGGGGTTCATCCACTTCTGGTTCCTCTGGCAGAGCGACGCCTTTCCTCTTGTCTCCTTCCTTCATGGCTTCTTGACAGCCCCAATTCATGGAGAGCATTTCTGATTAAGGCCAGCAGGAAACGGTCAGCTGGAGGTCCAGATGCAGCTCTCAGCTCCTGTTCAGCTCTCTGCTGGATCTGTTCCTCCATCTGAAGAACCCCTCTCAGATCCTTTTCATCTGCTGGATTACAGAGTTTTTTTTATTTTTAGGCCTGACTCTTCTTTTTTTGTCCTTATGTTTTAAGGACTCACTGCACACCATGCTGAGTTTTCGCTAGCAGCTCAAAATATTTATCACTCTTTTGGTAACATATGGCTTTTTCTGTCTGGAGGACTGTGCTATTTTTAGTATTTGGAACAAATGATGTGTCTCTGTGACATCTCGGTTGTCTGTTATACGTCGACACAGCACCGATTCATCTCTTTAATTAGGTGCCTCAAAATGACCCGCTGGTCCGTGATAAAATGTTTGGGAACGAGGACCGGGCTGAAAGTCAGTAAGAGCAGCGTATCGCTTCCAGCCGGACTCGTTTCTGTAGGGAAGGTTCAGCAAGCTATTGACTGAAGCCGGCCGGACACCTCCAGGCTGTGGACCGAACACAAGTTTAGAGGTTTTAGAGCAGAGCGACAGGCTGCTAAAGCTTTTTCAGTCCCAGTTTAGCTCCATTTGAACTGAATATAACTTAGCTTGTCCAGATCCGATATTCGCCCAAAAAACGGCAGGAGAAAATGCAGATCCAGAGTACGATCCCACACGAGCATTAGCATTAGCATCTGCTAACCCACAGGTCTGTGTCCTAACCATTAAGTTGTTATCAGAGTAAATCCCTGTTCAATATGAGTCTGACAACTATAAATAGATAGATAAATAACTTTAAACACATGCTGTGATAGGCCAGGATCGGGATTGGATCGGAAGTAAAAAAAAAAGCTGGATCCGGTCATCCCTAATATATAAGCCATTAACTTGGCTGCCCTGATAAGAAGTACAAAGAAAATGGGGCATTTTGATCCTCAGTGTTCTGTTTTTCAGACGCGAAGGCTTCAAATCTCAAAGAACCTGAAAGTTTTTACCCCAAACTTAAATGGAAAGTGTCCCTAAACTCATCAGAATTGCGTCCCCTCCTTCCGAGGCCTGTCGTTACACATGTGTAGTTTCCTTTTAGACTGCTCCGGCCAGCTCGAGCCCGTCGCCTTTCCCTCTCATCTCAGCCGGTCTGCTGGGCTCAGAGAGAGCCGGGGTCTGGCTCGGTTATGGATAACAGGACAACGGGCAGAGACAGTCTCCAGATTACCCGTTTTCCAGCTGCGGCGCATTTCATCATGCAGCCTCGGCCGCTTGCAGACGAGCAGCGCCGGTGTTTTTGAGAAACGGCCGTGCCTCCAAATGAAGCAATTTCTCGCACCAGAAACCTCACAAAGCTTTATTTCGGGGACAGGCGGCCCGGAAGGTGCCGGAGGCTGATGAACAAGCCGAGCAACAACTTTCTGGGGGAAAACTGGAGCATGTGGATTCACTTTTTAAATCATCATTTTAAATCATTTCAAGGTTTTGTCTCATCCAGCAACCTCCATTTTACAAGCTGGATAAAAATGACTTCATTCCGAGCTTTTATATTGACCATCCTTCTGCCTGCTTTTGACTAATTTTGATTGGAAGTCACAGTTTAACAGGAGGAGCTTCACCCTTCACCTAAGTTAAAGGTTGCATGTTATCTTTCCCTGATGATTTATCCTACTTGTAGCCACAGTTCATCCTATATTAGCATGCTTATTTGACAGCTTCCAGCAGAATGCTGTAATTTTTACTAAGTAATTGCTACAAGCCGTGGCCGTTAAATGAGTTCAACAGGCCCCCGGTGGGCCGTCCTCTCCGCCCCAGGTCTCATTAAATGTGATTTCCAATTACCAGCGGAGAAGACCTCTTAACTTCAGATTGTGTTCGGTTGGATATGAGACACTCGCCTGGTATTTAGCCTTATCAAAGGGCAGATGAGCATTCGAGGACTGATGCCGTCAGTACAGATCACTTCTCTCTGTTTCCTCCCCCCCCACAGAACATCACCAACCCCACCGACCTACCAAAGGTTGGCCGACTGAAAGACTACCCTCTCTTTTTCGGGACGGCCATCTTTGCCTTCGAAGGGATCGGAGTGGTACGTACCCATGCAACACTTTGAAATACACTCACCAAGCCCCGACTTTTACTCCTAACCGTCTTCTTTCCCTATTTGAGTGAATCCCGGGCCACACCTGGTGTCAGAGGTGCTTCATTTTAGACTACCTTCCTTACACAGGCAGGGTCAGGAGACGTAGGTTTTTCTGTTCCTTTTCTGTTGAATCAGGGTTTCTGGTGAGGACCTTGTTTGGGAGCGTCAGGGTCAGGGTGGCCTCCCTGCTCATTTTAGGTTTGACCTCTCAATGCTCACTGGGTCTGGGTCGGGTCTTCTGAAAGCCTGGAGACCAAAGATTACTGGAGGGTCTAACAGAAACAGTAGAACTGGCTACTGGACAGTGCTCTAAAACTGGCTTTCTGTCAGCTACTAAGTTTAATGATTCACAGCATAGCATGATGCAGCATAGTTAACAGGAACTGTAAACATTTTAAAAAATTCTAATATTTAGGAATCTTTTTTTTGTTTTTCGTAAATTCTTTTAGTGAAGTTTATTAGTTTTTTTTCTCCCCTACAGTCCTGTAAAGAATGTGCTGAAAAAAATCGTATTTGACGTATTTGCACAGAAACAACAGGCCCTCAGAAAAAACACAATTTCACCCGAAAGAACACGAGAACCTCTGCAGATCAAAGCTGCACGCAGTTCGGATCAATTGAACCCCGAAAAGATTTACTAAAAAAGAGGAAAAGAGCGCAAATTGATTCAGTTTCTGTCATTCGCACAGTTCTGTGTCGGAGTTGCATGTGGTTGTAGATTTTAGTGGTTCTGAATATATACTGGATCAGGATCCTCACGTTTTTGGCACCGCTCTAGAGCTGATTTAGGCTTCTGTTCCCTCCGGATATCCCTTCCCCTTATTGTTTACAATCCAGCAAACTTTTCATACATGCGGCTGGAAATGTGAGTGGAATTCAGGTTTTCATGACCTAGAACCACACGCATGCACAGCTTTACAGATCAGGGGGAAATACTTGCACGTTTCTGCCTCTGAACGAACACGGCTTTGTAAACGTAGCCCCGAGTGTTCACAGCAGCACATTGTCAGGGAAGCTAACCCTTTAATCCACGTCTTTGAGCACGCCTTTGACTCTCACACCGGCCGGCGGATTTTGCACAGTTGAAATCCTCCCGTTTTGAAGCTTAACGCCAAAGTTGAGTCGGGTCGAACGTGACCCCGGCTCCTCACGTATCGGCTCGTCCCGTCTGGGCGCGATTGGGCTGGAAATGCTGCCCGGCGGCCCCGGAGGACGCCGGCAGAGATTACAGAGTGAATGTTATCTCTGACCCTACTGCGTGAGGAGCAGCCATCACGCGGCTCTGCGGAAGAAGCCGAGGCACGAAGCCTCTGCTGGCATTGATTAGACGCCAGCCGTCGTTCCGTGAGTGGATGTCAGCACAGATACGGGCCTCACTCCACAGGCCAAAACACAGGCAGTGATCTACGGAAAGATGGGACTTTTTTTGGAGTCAGTAATCCACATCGTAGTTCGAAACCACAGCTGGTTAAGAAATAGGGTTATCACGATACTAAAATTTTCAACTCGATTCCAATACTCAAGAAGACCCCAAAGACCCCAAAATGTAACTGAATTTCGACAGGTTTGTGTCTTTGGTTTCAAACTGACCTGTTACTGATGTTATCGTGGCCGTGGCAGTTGGAAAACGGCTGAGTTTGTGTGGGCAGGTAGGGAAAAAAAACCCCCTCTGGTTCCTAGTGGTCAGTCAGACGTGAGGCCGTCTGTCCTACAGCCTGGTCAGAGACCGGGAACCGGCTCACCAACCAGACAAAGATCAAAACGCAGCAACAGATCTACAGAAAGACCGAAAAAGAGAAGAATCAGAGTCCAGAGCGCATCCAGAAATGACCCCATAAATCCACCGTCCGATGTCTCTAAACACCTCCGGCCCACAGAGTCGCTGATATCCTGCGTGTTTCTGTCTTGTTGTACCGGCAGGTGCTTCCTTTGGAGAACAAAATGCAGAGACCCCAGAGGTTCTCCCTGGTTCTGTACTCGGGGATGGGCATCGTCACCTTCCTCTACATCAGCCTGGGTACCATAGGATACATGTGCTTTGGAGAGCACATAGGTGGGAGCATCACCCTGAACCTGCCAAACTGCTGGTAAGAAAAAATAATTTTTGTTGTTTTTACATGCAAGACATCCCTAACTAGAGGGAAACCTGACGTCGAGCCAGCAGAAACAGACTTTGTTGTTATTTAAGCCCGTACAAACCTTATGGTTTGAGTAATTGGGAGTGAATTGCTCATGTCTTCAGTGAGTCAGAGCCACCGGCTCCAGATGTGGAGGAAGTACGAGTTCCTCAGAGACCTCCGTAGCTCCTCAGACTTCAAGAAAAACAACTGATGTTGTATATTTAGGATTAGGCTTGGCCTGATCCGATATCTGGATCGGATCGGCCGATATTTGCAAAAAAATGCCGAGCCCCGTTCTTCCTCTCTGTGTTTTACAGGACCTATCAGGCCGTGAAGCTGCTCTACTGCTTTGGGATATTCATCACCTTCGCCCTGCAGTTCTACGTCCCCGCGGAGATCCTCATCCCCCCCGTGGTGGCCCGTGTGCCGGAGAGGTGGGAGACGCCCGTGGACCTGCTGCTCCGCACCATCCTCGTCATCTTCACATGTAAGAGGCTTGAGCTGCTCACGCCGACTCTCGCTGGGCTGCCAACAGCTGGATCAGTTCATAGCTGTCTGAGTTTGATATTTCTGAATCATGAAAATGCATCTCTTTTTATGCCCTCTACCCACCCGTCCATTATCGTAACCGCTTATTCCCTAATGGGGTCGCTGGGCGACAAAGAGAAGTAGTAAATTGGCGAGAGGCAGGGTCACCCTGGACGGTCCGCCAGTCCATCACAGGGACACACAGAGACACACAAGGACCAACAACCCTAGAGACATTTAGAATGTCCGATCAAGCTAACACACAGGTTTTTGGACAGTGGGAGGAAGCCGGAGAACCCGGAGAGAACCCACAGACACAGGAGAACATGCAGACTCCACCCAGAAAGGTCCTGATTCCCTCGTGGGACTAGAACCCAGCACCTTCTGTCTGTTAGGCGATGGTGCTAAGCACCATACCACCGTGCCATTGTTCCCTCTACAAGTTTCGGTAAACTGCACGAAATGAAGCATTTGAGTGCTTAAAGTTCAGTGAGAGGCCGTAAACCTTTCAGGATGACTCTGTTCCTCGTTTGTAACGTTCTGTTTTCAGGCTCATTTGAACTCGTCAAAGGAGCAGACAGGCAGAAAGTTAGCTGACATGTTAAGGAAGCAGCCGCAGACACAGAGCCCCTTTTCTCAGAAAGTGGGATAAACCGTGCGTGGGGAACACCGAGTTCAGCCGATCAGACCACTGAGCAAAGTGGAAGCTGGTCCCCACAGAACTATCGAGCCACTTCAGGAAGCCCAGCGCCTCCCCTCAGCTCCAGCCAGCCCCTCGGGGCCTCGGTTCTCGGAACGTTTCTGTTTGTGTGATCGGAGATCAGACTAATGGATCGGTCTGGAGACTCGTGACTCCCTCTCAGGCTCATCGTTGAGTTCTGTTTGTGTCCTCCCTCCTTTTGTTCCTCATGGGCTGCTGTTGGAAAGCCATTTGTGAAACTGCACCTTTTTAAACTTGTCACACTCAGTTATTGGGATGCAGATTTCTGCTTGAATGCCCTATAAACCGCATCAGAAAAGCCTGAATGGGGGCAAAAACCTTCAGCCCCTAATGGTTTATTACTGTTATTACCTGTTAAAGACGTGTCGCTGGCATGAATGAATGACTGATTTTCAGATCATTTATGTGATCTGAAAATGGCTGCTTTTAAATTAAAAATAAAGCAGTAATAGTGGGCTTACCTGCCCGGTCCAGAAATGTCAACAACCTGCTAATTAGACCTGTAATTGTAGATATTTTACAGGAACGTCTGCATAGGTTTGGCCTTTAGCTCATTCGTTTCCTTTCAATTGTGTATAAAAAAGGGGCTTGGAATGACTCTAAATTATTTGTCGACTGGCATTGTCTGAACATTTGCCGCCTCAAAATGTAGTGAACATGTCCCTGAAGTGCAGCTGCTTCTTTTGCGTGCTCAATATTTGTCTGAATTAGCCGGTCATCGCAGCCATAGGGGCCGTTTGTATGACATGCGTATGAACTGTTCAGAGTGTTGTCATCTGAGCACAAACACTCGCCGCCTCTTTACATGTGAAACATGAGCTGCCGGGCTCCTCTTTGACGAGAAAGGCGGGAGGTTGATGGACACTGACACCTGCCTTCCCCACACTGGGGCGGCCCAGACTTCCCCGTAATGGCCCCGTAATTGCGGCTACAATTCACCAATTGCTATCGATCCCCGGCCCGCCGGCACTGCTGATTCCTGGAACTTTGTTTTTCTCATCTCGTGCCGCTACTGTACGGTTTTCAGGCCTCATTCCGGAGTCGCCGTGGCAGCTCGGGGTCAGCAGAGGGGCACGCGTTTGTTATCTGCCACGGCAGGTAAACGGAGACGGATAATGCTCTTTGTCAGATCGCGTAGACTCAGTTTTGACATCCATAGCAGCCCGCTGGCATCGCGTGGATAAACAGGACAGGAGCTTGAAGGGGATCGGCTGACGTGGCGGCTCCCCTGTAGGCTTTCTGTCCTCCTCCGGAGGCTGGTAGAGCTCATTCATTTAACGTTCTTAAACTCTATCCCCGTGTGATGAAAATATAGGATGAGAGGGTTCACTTTGCAGCCATATAGTTGGAAGATGCGTCAGATAATCGGGCTTCTGCTAAAGCCTCATCTTAGCTTTCATTCCCAAAACTCTTTCTTTTTTGCCCAACAGTCCTTTACCCAGATCCCAGATTTTCCACTTAAAGAGCCAGAAGATAGACCGATATCCCAAAAAAGCCAAAGACAAAGTCTCTCATCTCCAATATACGAGATCTATATAATTAATTTTAGTCATCACAAGCCAGGCTCGCTAGTCATTATCCAGCCTGTTCCAGCTTTATTTAAGTGTTTGACTTAAGTGCTCTTAAGTTACAGGAACTCAGCCCAGGCTGATCCAGCTATCTCCATTCTAGGCGGGATCAACCTGAGTCAGTGAGGAGATACTAAAATCCATCGGTTTTATGTAGTTTTACCAGATTGTCAGTTGATCCCTGCCTCTTTTCTGTAAGGAAAAGCCACATTTCCTCCAGTTGATAATGCATAACATCAGAATTTTAGTTGATATGTCAGGATATCTAGGCTTTTCTTCACTTTTTCTCCTCTCATTTAAAGGCGTTTCCATTTTTAGTACATTTGCCTGTATTTGTATTGGTTATGACATGACTCACAGAGTGTTCAGCACCAGGGACAGCTCCCCAAACACGTCAGACAGCTGTTCACAGCTGTTGTTGCAACTTTCTGTGTTGATAACTTCTAAACCATAAGAAATATGCCACATCTGGTTATGAAAACCAGTTCCTGAGAGGATTCTGCTCTCCTTTGACGTGCTACATGACGATCTTCCCATCGGAAAAACATGGCCTTGATCCAATATGGCGACTTAAAAACAGGCCTGCTCACCCGTCAGTGGGTTTTCAGATGGGTGGTTTTCCCTTTGGTTTGGATAAAGCTGTGTCCTCTGCCTTTTGAGGGGCCTGGTTCTGTTTGTTTTAATGCTTTCGAGGTGCTTCCTGGTTAAAACGCTTTTCGCATCTCGACCAGTCTCCCATCAAACACAGAGTCTTTATGTGTTTTCAGAGAAGCGCTGCTCTTCTGGTTTATTTGCATGACATGATGCTGGTCTGAAACCCAGATGGATCCACGCTTAAGGTGGAATTATCTGGAGGAACAAAAACGCCGGCAAAGATCTCCAAAACACAAAAGCAAGACGTTTGACCGGTTAATTGAAAGATAGATGCAGAATTTCATTTCCATGAAATTAAACTATAAAAGCGAGCTGAAAATAGCTCCATCCAGGTGACAATCTTAGGATCGTGTTGGACCCCGTTTCTTTCTTATTGTAAAAAGTGATTGATGATATTTATTAAACTCTAAAAGTAGAAGGATGGCTGGCAACAAATGCAAAGTGTAGCCACCAGCGCCTGATTTAAATTTAGGAGAGGGCTCATTGTTATTGATGGAGCTGCTTGAACAGAGAAAGGCCAAGCGAGGCCCTCAAAACAGCTTACTTTGTCAAAAACGAGGAACTGAAGAAGTAATGGAGTTTGCAGCCGACTCTGCAGAATCGATGGCCAATCTTCATGTAATGAGGAGAACGGGAGCTCAGGCCCACGTCCCTTTGCGTTTAAATGAATATACACGAAGGGCCGGTATCAGATCAGGAGACTCAGCAGAGCGCTGATCCGCTTATTCATGAGGAACACGGATATGATTTCTTCTCACACAGAGACAGGAGATAAGCACCAAACTGGCCATTTATTTGAATGCGCTCTCATTTTAATGCCAGTTACTCGAAGTCCAGTTTTTTTTCCGTCTTTTTCATGAATTTGTGATCTATTACTTCCTTTAAAACTAATGACCGCAGCAGAGCCAGTGGGTTCACCCGCAGGCTGCAAACATCGACTCTAAATATTCAGACACCGGCCGTTTTTATTTCCAACGATCGTCCTCAAAGAGTCACGAGGCAGGGACTTGATGAACATCTGCATTTTGATCCAGCTGTGGGGTGCGTTGGCTCACGGAAAGAAGCTCAGAGATGAAAACAGGAACAATTTTTCTTATGAAATACTTTCACCACATTTTCAAATTAATTTATATTTCGTTTAACCAGGAAATAGTTTTGTTAGCAGCAAAACTAATTTATTTACAGGAGTCAGATAAGAGAAATATGTTCAATATACCCTAAAATATCCCATCCTGTTCGTTAATCTTGGAAAAGTGAAATTATCCAAGAGTGGCACAAAAGTAGAAAATGACCTCAAACACAAGCATGCAGCTATGAAGAGTTATAACTATATATTAACAATAATAATAATAGCACCCCCTCAGTCTGTAAACATCTGGAACCGGGGACACCAGATGTGTGAGAGGAATGTTGACTGCTTTCAGGTCACGGATGCATTATTTATTTGAAGCTTCTTCTGTCTGCTCTCAATCTTGGATGGTTTTCACGTGCTGTAGACGATGGAGGTCTAAGAGTTTGGGGATTTTTCTGCCAAACTTTGGGGCTCTTTGCTCACTCCTGCGTTGCTGACCTTGTTGATGGCACCCGATTAGACGAAGCGATCGAATATTGAATGTTACCGTTCGGGATTTTTTCGTCACGCTTGCAAACCGTTGGGTTCTGTGCGGGGTTGGGGGGCTCACTCCCCCGTTACGCTTCTGTCGTTCCCATAATGCATCAGCTCTCCCATCGTCTTAAGATCAAGTGCATCCAGAGGGGCGGCCATTGGAAGTTGGCTCCCGTCTCCTCCGGCTGGGTCATTTGTAGCTGGAGGAGCGCCACGCACACGTTTTCCCCCCCCAGAGACACGCGTGTGGACGCTGGGTGCTGGGGACCTGCTTGTGGGGAAGCGTAAAGAGGGCATCTCCCATCGGACACAATTGTAACCCCCCCCCTCCCCTCCCAAAGAAATATCTTGCCTCGTATTGGTCGGCGTTCCCTCCTCAGCGCATGTCATTCATCTTCATCTCTTATATT